TAGGGAAAGCTATAGCCTGTTGTCTTCTGTGAGTGTTTTTCTTTCCTCTGTGTTAGATCTGCTCCTAAATATGCACATACATAAATATGTATGTGTACCTGTATGTATGTATCCACATACATTCTCATGTACACAAATACACCTAAAAGATGTTGATTTGTTTGTACCTGTATTTCTGTTCAAGCACCAGCATTTTAAAAGTATTGAATGTGAGACACCGATGCGATATAGAAAAGAAAAGCAGTACTCATGTCAAGCATATGTTATGTAAAAGAACACGAGCACAAGGCAACACCATGTTGGATTATGCGGCACTGTGTTAGTAGTGGTGAAAGGTTCATTCTCTTTCATGCATCACCATCACAAAGCACTATGTGCCATAGACCTTTATGAGATGATACTTCTAAACTGTTACGGGGTGTTTTTCACCTGGACATTTGGTCCAAGTGAGGTGTAATTGGACAACTACTATTTTTAAAGAAGTGGTACCAGTTCTAGTGGTGAATGAACCTTGTTTCTCAATGTACTAGGTGAACTCTTTTAAAATGCATATCCTCATCCTAAGTATCGACAGATACTTCATGGACAAAGCCTTGAAAAATTCATGGAGTACTAGAAGAAAAAAACACAACAAAATAACTAAAAGCTGAGTGACCAAATTTTTTAAACATCTCAGAAATAAGATTAAAGCTTATGTACTGAAATAATAATGATTTCTGGTTTCTTAAAATTAATAACTATATGTAGACATTAACTTAGGATTGCAGAGACTTTCAGTGGAGCCAAGACATTCTTGCCATTGTAAGAGGAAGTGATTTGATTTGGTCTGAAATATGTTATTCACTAATTTGACATTCTATTTACTGTAATGTTCATATTAAATAAAAGTTTCAGACCTGATTCTCTGGAAGGATAAAACCACTTAGGAAGTTTAGATAGTATAAAATATTGGGAAGATACCATCCAGCTAGAGGAAGAAGTTTTATGCAGGAATTTAAAAGAATGTGGGATTTTATACAGAATGGCTTAGTGTATTAGAAGTTTTATTCTTCACAAATATGTGCTGCTCTGATTGTAGGAAATGATGACAATAATCTCAACTCCATTTTTTACGAGCATTTGACAAGATCTCTGCAGGAGTCTCTTTGTGGAGATTTGATTCTGGGCCGCTGGGGAAACTACAGCACAGGAGACTGTTTTATTCTGGCATCGGATTATTTAAATGCCTTTGTGCACTTGATCGAAATTGGAAATGGCCTTGTCACCTTTCAGCTCCGAGGGCTGGAATTCCGAGGTAAGGATCTCTGATGATTTAAATAGCAACAAAAACAACAGCAAAGCCTATCTGGCTTTTTAATCTATCACAGTTCTGTAGTAGGACATCACGTTTAAGGACCCTTCTGTTTTTAAAAGTTTGTGTCTGTCTGTCTAAAAGCTATCTACATCTTTGTATTGTTATTTGAATGACAATGTTTTGAAACCTAGATGTTAAGAAATTTGGAGTCATGTTGTGCAGTACCATAAGACTTCCAGAAAGAAGGCATGTTGAGTAATTTGCTAGGTTCACAGGTCTTTTAGGTAATGCTTAGTTATGTTTTCAGATTTCTTTCCTTCTATAACCATGAAAAACAAACTTGTTCTTAGAATTTTTCAACCCCTAAAATTTGCTTTTTGAAAAAACTTCAGATATCATAAAAATCCTTCCATGGAAAATATCCTGTGTCAGATCATGCAGGATGCCAGTGCTGAGATGGTCTCAGAAGAGAAGAAGCAAGTCTGTCTGGACTCATATTTCTGTTATTTAGGAAGTGCTGAAGGGACATCACCTTCTTCCTGTTCAGTATAGTCCTCTCTCAAGACACTCCTCTTTAAGGAATGGCAATTCCATCCCCTTCCTCAGTGGTGTGGGTTTGGTGAGGGCAGTTGCTCGTAGTCCTGTCCTTTTGTCTTTTGCTGTCCCTAGAGTAGGAAGAAAAATGAAAGTAAAGCCACAAAACTTTTAAACAGCTCTTAAATTTTGCTCATGCAATACTGTTGGCTACTTGGGTTTGTAACCTTTCAAAGATACCCCTTTGCAATTGCGGGTAATGGGAATTTTGAAATCCCAGCATAAACAGCTTCCCAGCTGAAGGGCTGAGCATGAGCGTGGTGCTGACAATGAGCAACACCGAGGTCGCGGGTTCGATTCCCACTCTGTCCCCAAGTGTTGCCTGATCTAGTCAAGAGGTGGCGTCCCTGCCCATGACAGGGAGGTTGGACTAGATGATCTCTAAGGTCTCTTCCAGCCTAGGCCATTCTATGATTCTATGATTCTATGATCTAATGGGCCACATATAGAGGAGTGTATAATCAAAGTGACTTTTCAACAAAGCTGAGAATGAGAAAATAGGAGACAGACTGGCTCTTCAAATACACTTACGTGTGGGAGGATTAGACTAGGAAATAACATGTGTGGGCTCAAGTCTTGACTCTGTGACAGACTTCCTGTAGGATGTTGAACAGGTTGTGGTAAATGCTTGATGTTCACTTTCCTTCCTGTATGGTAGGGATGAAGGTAATGCTCCGGTATCCTAAGAAAAGTTATGCAGAAAACAGTAAATACCTGAAACAGCTCAATATTGTACTACCCAAAGAGAATAGCTATGTAGTACAAAGGCAATTCTTAAGGAAAAGCAACTGGAAAGAAAGAGAAGGAATTTGTTTATTGGCCTCGTAATTTCTTGTTATTCACAAGGATGGTGATGTATGTGTAGCTCTTTGGCTTTCTTCAACTTCAAAAACATCTGTGCAAGTATTATCTTCTCCCTGTGTTGCTCCCAAAGTAAGCAGTGGTGCTGCTGTGCCAGGGGTAGGTTAAGTATACCCTACAGAGTCCACAGGTGGAAAATTTTTTGGACGTAGATTTGGAATTTGCTATTGGTTCTTTCAAATCCAGGCCAGACAAATGCAGATTTATGTTTTTCTGCAAGAAGAGTCGAACACTATGGCAATTCAGATCTCTTAGTTACAGTACTGCTGGTTTTACAAGCTGATAAGTCTCCAAGTTAATAGCTTTTTTTTTTTTTACTCAACAGTTCTAGTCAGCCTATCATTTTTTAATTCTTCTTAGGTTGCTTAGCCTTATAATTCTTTATGGAGACTCCGTGAAGTCAAAAAAATCATTCATTTCTGCAGATCTGAAAAGGAAAGTGACACCCATGAGGCTGGTATGCTTTAGATAACTGTCAACAAGGACCTGAGCTGCTCTGGTGGGGTCACAGGTGTTTCAAAAGGGTGCCCAGACACGGATGCTGAGTCAGAGCAAACGGAGCCAAAGAGCTGGTGTGAAGGCAGAAGCTGTTTAAGGGGACAGGCTGAGGGCTCTCCCAAGGAGGAAGCTCTGTAAAAGCTGAGACTGAGCTGAAACTCTTCCTTGGAAGGTTTTCTTTGCCCCTATCTTTAAGCAGGATCACTGGCAATGGGAGTAGGAAGTTAGAGCAGGCAGCACCAAGAGCCATCTCCTGCGCAGACAAGGCATGTTCTTCCCCATTTCAAACCTTGCAAATGGCTGGCATGGACTACAACTGAATAAAGTAGGATTTTTTTCTGTGTAAGTGGGACGAGTGCATGCAACTGCCCTGGAAGAACCTGGTAGTTTACGAAGTAAAGAGGCAGTTGTTAAGCGCGAAGCACATTTCCTCTGCTTTGGGCATCACACATTCCTATTTTTAGTTGTCTGGTCATGCACTATTTTCCACATAGGGCCCTTATTTCTCTCATTGTACATGATGGTTTCCCACAAGGAGGAAAAAAACGGCTGGAGGAGGAACATGAAATCTGTAATTTCTGAGCGTTGGCTGCCTGACTTCGGTTTCAAACAAGTAATTTTAGCTGTGCGCCCTAAAAATCTGCTGTTCCTTAAATACAAAGTCTATGTTTGCTTTGAAAATGAGTGAATCACAACAGTGTCCTCTGTGTCTGTGACTGCTTTCTGTTTATGAGTAAACCAAAAGCAATATTTGTATTGGGGAGCTCTGGGTTTTCCTATGAATGTTTCTCATTGTGGTAGCTGAAGAGCTGTGCTGGCAATACTGCCACAGTAGTGCCTGAAGAAAGGGTCATAGAATCTTCTGAATTTAAGTGCACCAGGAGCAGAAAGTATTGCTTCCCCAGTTGGCTGTCCAGCCTAACTGAGAGTTGGCATCACGAACGACTGATCCACATATCCTCTTAACTGTGTGCAATAGACACATTTGGCTCAGCCTTTACATAAAAAAAACCCCACCAAAACACCGAAAAACCCACCCCAGAACTAAACCCTACAGACAGGCTAAGAAGGTACAGACTGAACAGACTGAAAGAAAAGAGTCGGCAAAGCTAAGACTCCTCTCATCCATCCTGAGTCCTGTTCTAATTAAGCACTTTCTGTGAATTAGTTCTTTACTCTCTCTTTCTACAGACACGAGAGGGGGTGTGCCTCTGTTGTGTTAGTCATCCTGTGTGCAAAGCAGAGGGGAGCCTCAATACCTCCAGGCATTGAGAGGAGATGCCTAATCCCTCCTTTAGCGAAAATGAGGAGAGGGTAGTAACGAGCTTAGGCTAGGTGAAAGCTTTGAGGTAGCTGCATATAGACATGGGGGAATAAAGCCCTTCAGTAACTTAACTCTACTGTCTGTGTTAGACCACAGCAGTATGTTAAACGCAACCTGCCAGAAGAAATACATAATGCATCATTTAATTTGAAGGAGACTGAGGGAAAAACCCACAATCAGGGAACAAGCAGGAAGAATGTCAAAATATCTAGCTCCTGTGAGTTCCCTGTAGAACAAGGAAGGCTTAAAATATTTTCCTGTTTAGTCTGTGCTTCTCCAAAATGTCTTTTGGAGAATATCCAGTTAGGTGCTATGCATGCAAAAATTACTTGTTGGATGGTGATGCTGAAATCCTGAGCAGCTGTTTTCTAATTTGTGCCCGGTATTCCTCAGTCATGTAATTTACTTCTAAATCTCTGCTGTGGGTTTTTTGGGTGGGGTGTTGGTTTTTTTTTTTGTTACTGCATGTTGCATGTCCAATATTCATGCTTCACTTGGAACTTCATTAGACAAATCAAGGAAAGAAGCACAAAGCACACACAGATGTAATTGTACGTACTGGAAGGCAGCTGTGGCAGCAGGATGGGATTGCCTGTGGGGCCTTCTCTGTAACAGTTAGCTTATTTCCCATGCAGAATGGTGTACGAGCGCAGCTAGTTTAGGGTATATGCTTCAGGCACCGTAATGATGTCTGAGAAATAAGGACAGTTACTCATTTCTGCAGTGTATGGGTACGCTGCATAGTTCTGTTACAGTAGCAAGTACATTACCAGTTTTACTTTTGTGTCTGAAGGCTCTGCAGAGCACTAGCAAGAAGTATTCTTTAAAGAGTGGTTACCACTTTCGCTTTTTGCTTTTACAAATCACTTCTTGCTTTTGGGAAATAAAAGTGCTCGCCTTCATGGCTTTCCCAAGACCACCCTTGAAGTATGTTCAGTGTATGCACCAGACCATCTAAAGGCACTGATAAATCACAAGGAGTTCAGAGAAGAGCAGCCATTTTTAATACATCTCTTTGGAGAAAAGGTTAAGAAACAAAATACATTCTTTGTGGGAAAGAACAAAGGCTGAGAGACACAATACTTCAGAAATATTAGACACATGAATAGAAAGGATGCAAAGAGGGGTTTTTTTATCTTGGTGATTTAATTGGGAAGAATGACATGAAACAGGGTACCTTATTGTGGAATGCGGGACATTTGTGATATGCAAGTCTTTCTAGGTGTAAGATAATGTTCCAGCAGTGGAATCCGTCTATGAATCCCAAATAGGCTTAGAATCGTTTCTGTAACACAGACTAGAATAAATATTTGATGTCTTTTCCACCATTCCTCCCTTCCACAATTTTGTGTATGTATGGGTTCTCTGGAGAAGACTTCTAGAAGGAAGGGAGGTGCTGTTAGGTGCATTGCAACATTTTTATTGAGAAAATGTCTTTGCCAGAGACAAAATGTTGTGTCTTGCATTGCACTCAAAAAGAGGCGAAATAAGAGTTTTTCATGGTTTTCCGTAGCTGAAAGTTTAACAGCTAGCATCCCTAGAGAATGGTTTCTTCCATCTGGGCTCCCATTATGTGTCTCTGTGGACCAAGAAAAAAAAGGGTTTCTGAGGAGAGGGGATGGCTGTTATTACACCAGCTGATCTGGTTTGAAAACCAGTTTATATTTCAGGCATAAAAGCACCTGAAGCAGTTGAAAACCAAACCACAGTTTTATATCTAATA